ACATAGAAAATAAAATATTTTTATGCAAATGCTTTTTTATGCAAAAGAAATGAAATGGCATGTTCAAAGATCTTGATCTTGTCATAACTGATTTGCGAAGTCAGGATTTAGTGAAACATGTCTTAAGTACTATTCTGGCCCTTCAGGTAAATAAGAAAGACTATTGTCTGGGCAACAAAGTAGGAACTTGATAATAAATGAATCTCTATAGGATATTATAGCTGTTTATTGGCCAAAGTCAAGAATCCATGTGTTAGAAATAAGTAAACATTTTAAAGTATGGCATAATACATCAAAGTGCACAAAAAATATCCACATATTTTACCCATTTAATCACTATCTACCTTAAAATATCAAGCCTTCCTAGTCCCCTGAAAACATATCCTAGTGACCTTCCCTAGTCATTATGTATTCCTTTCACCAAAGATAAACCACTATTCTTCTCTCATCATAGATTAATTTTGTCTGTTTTTAAACTTTATATAAAATTAAACATTATGTAATCTTTTGTGTCTGGCTTCCACTAAACATTCTGTGAGATTCATCCTTATTGTTACATGAAGCAATATTTTATTCTTTTTCATTGCTATATAGTATCCCATCATATGAGAATACCATAATTTATCCATTCTACTGTTGATGAAAATTTAAATTATTTCCATTATTGGGTTATTGCAAATGAAGTTGCTCTGAACATTTTTGTAGATGTCTTTTGTTGCACAATATGCCAATGTAGTTTTAAGGATGTTATTGTTACCTCGTTCTGTTGTACTGAGATAAATATTGATTTACTGGATAATTTTAAATCATGTGATACAAATCGAACCTCTGTAATGTAATTAAGTGGTACACAAAGTGTCAATATTCCCCTACTAAAATAACAGGGAAACCTGTTGATCTCACAAAGCTGTGGTTATTAACCTAGCCAAGCAGGAGGAGGACTGCCTTGACAGTTCTGGTAGGGTCTCAAAAGGAGGGAACTAGAGAACAATACCTATGTGGTTTTAAGGGCTAGGATTAATGGGGGGGGGGGTTGTTGTTGTTTGTTTGTTTTTTTTAACTTTTCTAGTTTCCCCATCTAATAACTACATTAGTCTTCTCATACTTCTAAATGGTTCTTTTACAAATGCCATCACTAATTCCAAGAACCTTATATTAGTCATTCTGTTTAACACCTTTACATTTCAGCTTATTTATTTGGAAGCAATAGCATCATTAGTGAAAAGAAACCATGGTTAAATATACTAAATCATTGAATTGTATACTTTAAGTGGGTGAACTTTATGGTATATAAATTATATCCCCATAAAGCTGTTTAAATACAAAGAAACTTTGGTTAGAAGTTCAGAGACAAATTCTAGGCCTGCCTCTTCTATAAACTAGTTATTTATTCTAAGTCAGTAAATATTCATGAAATTGTTGTCACAGCAAATCAACTAGTAAGCTAAACTGACATGGTCCTAAAACTCATAGAATGTATTGGTAGGAGAGAGAGAGAACAAGAGTGCCCTAGGTGTAGGAAGAGGCCTATTCCATGTAGGGGGAGCATGTGCCTTGTAGCCGAGGACTGCACAGAACCACTGTGACCAGAGAGCAGAGGGGGTGGCAGGGCATGGTGTAAGAGGAAAGCGCAGGCTATACAAGGAGGTCATGTAAAAGTTTTGTCACTTTCTTTAGAACAGTGGAAAGGTGTTGAGTTTTAAGGGCAGGGACTGTTGACATCATATTTGTATCTTGGAATGATGGCTCTGGCTGCATTAAAAAAATTGGATTAGAGAGGTCCGAGTGTGGAAAAAGATACACACACTTGGAAGCTACAGTCTTTTGGAGAGATTAGGGAAGCTTGAGACTAGTAAGGAAGAAGGAGGTATCAAAATGAGTCCTAGATTTCTGGAGTCTAGAACTTGAAGAAAAGAGGATATCTTTGTAACCCAGGCTTTATAGAATTTAAGAGTAGCATGTTCCAAAATTACCTGCAGTAGATCAGAATGAAAGACAGGCATATTTTTTTATTCATGTACCAGTGGGCATTATAATCTTTACTCCTGTCATTATCACTTTTTAAAATTCATCTGCTTAATTTGTCATAATGAATCGAGGCTAAACAGATTTATAACTTCAGTAATTTGAAATGCAGTATTTTGCTTTTGTGTATTATCTTTGTTTCAACAACTGCAATTTTATTTCCCTCAGTGTTTGATTTTCATCAAGCAGCTGATGGGATCCAGGAACAACAGAGACAAGAACAAGCAGGAAAAAAGTATGACTTTTTTTTTTCTTTTTTCTTTTGTATAGCTTAAGTATATTCAGATCCTTATGTTTAAATTCTGGGCCAGAAGTTTAAAAAAAATTATTAGAATATCCTGTTTATATTTCAGAGAAAATCAGTAAGATTCAGGAAACAGCACAAACAGAAAATAATCATACATAACTTTATTCTTTGTGATGATCTGACTGTACAACCTATATCTTTCTCATCTAACTCAAAGATTGTTTTGATTTGTTTTTAAGTTTGGGTACCACAAAAAAGGGCATTGGCCCAGTTTATTCTTCCAAAGCTGCTCGAAGTGGACTTAGGATGTGTGATCTTGTTTCTGACTTTGATGGCTTCTCTGAGAGGTAACTAACTTGTGTTTGTTTTTTTTAAAAAAATTCAAAATATTAAAGTTATTTTTATTACATTATGATTAGTCCTTATTTTTAGATTAATTTCATGAAAAATAACATCATGATGATGATGATGATGTAATAGTAGTATCCCAAGAAGACAAAGCCAGAATTATATTTAAGGATTGGAATTTTGAATCGTTTGGTGAGAAGTAGAATGATCCTGGGAGTGTGGCAATACTTTGGTGTGGTCACCACTTTCTAGGCTCTTGATCCTTGGATTTTTGGGTCCAAAGACTTCATTATGTCCTCCCACCCAGAAATAATTAGGCTTCTCAGGTGCTGGTGAATTATTGTATACCAAGCTCACCTTGAAAAATAGAAATGCGGGCCAGCCCGGTGGC